CGTTTGCGATCACAGTTAACAGTTCACTTTTTTTGTTCAAAACGGAATCAGAGTTCGTGTAAAAACATTTTAAAACTTTTTGTGCACTTTCACTTTGATGTATGCGGTTACTCCCTACATTATTTACAGGCCTTAATCTACGGACATCATTCCGTATGATGCGGTTACTCCCTACATTATTTACAGGCCTTAATCTACGGACATCATTCCTACTAATTACTTGTCTTCCATCTCCTCTGACTGTCCTTGAGCAGCCGGTGTTGTCTTGGCAGCTTGGAAGTGATTGACCTGATTTTCTTTGCCTTCCCGCCTGATTCTCTCCTGCCACTTCTTGCGAAAAACCGCCCTCTCTAAGGGGGTGGAATCTTTCTTTACAAAAACTGACTTGTAATCAGCGGATTCACCAAGCTTTCTCGCTGTTTTCAGCACGCTCCAGACCTGAGCAGAATCCTTCACAAAACGATTGCATGCTGAAATTTATAATAAAATAAATATTAGAAAATAATGAAAAGTTACTAAAAAATTACACAGCAAAAATTCAGTCAATCAATTCCTCATCGCTGGTTTCACCTATCGCGAGGTCCGGATCCTAACGTAACTCCCGCTATATAGGTGAGGTATTACTGTTATGAAATTCACACTATAATGTAGAAGCGTGATGTTGGTGCCTGTCTTTCATTTTACCGTTGACTAATTCCTGTAAAAATCAGTTGGAAAATGTTTTTCAGACGGCTTCAACAACGGCTCAAACATATAAAAACAATTAGGCTGTTGTGTACATTCACTCTTGCACTGCAAAATCTGATGGACTTGAAAATTAGCCGTGATTTAGCGTAGGTTATCGTAAGATTGCTTCACACATCTGCAAAGTTGGCATCACTTGGAACGGTTTTGACATGCAGAACATTCTGCCGGAGAAGCGAACGCTTCAGGCCACTCCTACACGTGTTTGTCAGTGTTTCAAATTCGGAGCAAACCAAAAGTTTCTTTATTAACCGACTGAGCAAAAATCATTGATTTGAGGCAATGAATCGATTATATTGCTAGTGTATGACCAGAAAAGCCGGTAAAATTCACCTTGAAGTTTTGATGGGAGGTTATTTGCAGTGTCGACCAACTATGGCGAATGTGGCCACGTTAGGATTAAGTTAATAATTTAGTAGCTCGGGTATTTAACAACCATTGACCAAACCAGCCGTAAGGCAGCAATGACAATCTGATATATACTTTATACCGAAGTTTATAATTTTCTATTGACCTGATTTGGGCTGACCAGCTTCAGAGGATGCAAGACTGGCATGACGACCTCAGCAGCGAAGATTATAGCCATGGCCGTACCTAACATCGACCAGGTTAAACCACAGCCGTGAGCGTAAACTTCTCCTGAATAGCCTGAAACAAAAGAAACAAAAAGTTTCGCGTCATGATAAAAAAAGTATACATAATATACAAAGATCGACGTCTCTGAAAAGTTTTATGACGTCCGGAACAAACGAATGACATCGCAGAGAAACTGAGCTTGAGATGACAAAAATAAGCTTAAAGCTGATGAATGATTGAATTAGAATTAAGTGATTCACAAAACGATTGCATGCTGAAATTTATAATAAAATAAATATTAGAAAATGATTGAAACCTCGTCTTACATGGAAGTCAGTTCGCGTGCAAGGGGAGTTGGGGACAGGCGATCAAGCGTTCAGTTTAGTCGAGTGGCCGAAGCAACAAAGCTAAACATTTTTTCACGCGAAATCGTGGCTCCTGTCAACGTATGGCCGGCAATTTACATCACTACAGTGTGAAAAAAATTGCCCCAACTCGTTTACTGGACATCGTGCATTCGATCACCGTACAGCAGACTGTCGTGTTACTAGCTCCACAAAATACCAATTCTTCTTAATGTTACTTACGTGCTGTTTTTTATACGTCTCAATTTTGACTTCTACATAACGAAAACAGCACGATAGCGTGGCAATCATGGCGATTATGGGCAAGCAATTACAGTATACATGTGAATTACATACATATTTTAAACGGACGGCAGTGTGTGTATGAATCTAAAATAAAACTGCTCAATTATTTTACTGCATGTTGAGTAATGGAAATAAATGTTTTGAAGGAACTTCATTTACTTGCAATTACCATCGGCTGGTTGAAAATATAGCGACGAAGTGCTAATTTCGCCTCCGATATGTCAATGCCTCCATGTGATATGTACAATTCCATAATCCAACCCACATTTAAGTTGCAGGAAAATAATCCTGTTTTGATATTCCGGAAGTGAGAACTGATAATCAAATATTGTGAAAAATTTCGACATTCAATTGAACTTCAATTTAATTATAGTTATAGCATATTTAATTATTTATTCAACAAAATTTGAATTTCTAAATAGGCTCTGAAAACAGAAGAGAATCCTCATAATAATTAATCGATTGAAGGAATATTCTAAAAAGCAAGAAACACACGACCATCTGGCGGTCTATATAAATCTGACTGGCAGTTTATAATTTTTTGTGACAATGTTTGCGTCGCTATGAGGATGCTCTTGGAAATAGACCTGTTAAACGTGGGTGGGTCACAAAATTGTGTTCTCAAATATCGATTTTATCAAGTCGAATTGAAGAAAGTCAGCCTTGATTTAGATCAAGACAAGGTTGAGACGAAGACCTGGTGATGCATGTAATTTACAGGAGTTACCGGCTCAAGTTACAGGAAAGTGATCCAGCAAATATAAACTGAGGGAGCTGAGAAAACAATAATTAAGACTTATATTCGAGCCATTGTAGAGAGATGCTTGTTCAATTTTTTGTCCGGATAATGACGTTTACATGAACTGTTAGAACTTCAATTAGAAAAAAATCGCGTGTATACTAAATACAAATCGAAAATCGTTATTTTCAAACCACCCGGTTTTTTCACACGGTAATGTTAACGTTGACTTTCTAATCACTGCAAAGTTGATAAATGAATGATTGTTTCGACCCTGTTTATTACCTAGAATTGCGTTCGCTGAGAGGAACGTTGCAAGTAGAGACAGGGACACCGGGAAGGGCGTCATGGAGCGGCTCCCCATGGAGAAATCAACAGCTGTTTTGTTGCCTTTGATGCCGTGATAAACTCCGATGGCCACAGAAGCCAGCATAGTCGCCGCAAGAATAATATAATCAACGGCGCCGAAATGAGCTCGGGTGCCCATGTCGGTAGGATCCATGCTGGGTCCAACCAAACTATAACAATTCAACGAAATTGGGTGCTTTCAGCATCGATCCATCCGAGTTTGTTTACTCGAATTCCGTAAAAATCAATTTTCATTCAACAATGAACAACTTGCACAATAAATTTACAAATGATAAAGCTTCGTAAATAATGGAGAAAGATGGATCCATCTAATTACAAGCCCAATATTCTGTAAACGACACTTATTTTATAAACCAATGAAAATATTAGAGAAGTCTAAACCTCACAAGCGTTCATGTAAGAGCGATATACAGTCAACTAACTCTTTCATACGCCATTCAAAATTGTGCATTGGTTGCTGTTTAATTAAAACAATCAATACAATAAACTCATACTTGCATAGACTGTATTCTGAGAAAAACTGAGTGATTTTTACGATAAAGAATATTTTTCGATTGGATATAAGTATTGAAATCACTTGTTTGCTTAAATCGCAAGTTAACTAGGAATTTAAAAGCAAAAACAACACCACAAAAATTCACCATATCTTTATAAGAGAAAACGTTTCGGAGTCCAGCTCCATCGTCAGTTCACAAAATTCAGTTCAGAAGAAGTTCAGATCATAGGCCCGTATGCTAAATAGGGCACTAGCACTACGAAGTAGCACTATGCACTACGAAGTGTCCTGTTGGTATGCTAAATACGTCACAGACACTAAGTACTTCGAAGTAGCTCTACAATGTTTAGTGTCGCTTAGTGTCGCACTACTGATTCGTATGCAGAAAAACTTTGAAGTGCTACTTCGCTGTTAGAGTACTTTATAGTGCCGCACTACGCTATGAGTCTATTGAAGAATGGTAGTTAAGTGCTCAAATAATTAATTATTGCCTAAGTATTTCTCATTCTTTGCAGAAGATTGATGTCAAATGTCTAATTGTGATGATATATAATGGTACTAGTGAAAATTGTGATGGTGAGCTGAATTCGCAATGCGTCTGCGCACCTTTCTCATCATATATTCAAAGGCCACGCTTCCCAAAGACATCGAACAAAAGAGAGAAGCATGGAAAGTTCTTACAGAAGAATTCAAAATGACTCCAGAAAAAAAATTCAAAACATGGTATCAAAAACAAGAAAAGTATTTTCTACTTCTACGCTGTTCATCTGTTTCGCCCAGGAAAATGTCAGCCATAAGAATAACATGTTATTCACTGAATCGGTACACTTTTTTATATTCATGGCATGTAGTTCCTGAGGTTTTTACGCGATGATGCCTTTGCTGTAAGCCAAACAGATCCATAGCTGACGAAGTAAACAAGGTGAAATATACCGTAGTGTCGTCGTGAAGTGCGGTGTGTTGGACACTTCAGATTTTTGTAGTGCGCGTTATGCTTTTGGCCCCTATTTAGCATACCAACCGTAGTGTTCCATGCCGCACTATGGCTTGTAGTGCGTAGTGCTACTTCATAGTGCTAGTGCCCTATTTAGCATACCAACCGTAGTGTTCCATGCCGCACTATGGCTTGTAGTGCGTAGTGCTACTTCATAGTGCTAGTGCCCTATTTAGCATGCCAACCGTAGTGTTCCATGTCGCACTAGTACGGTCGGTAAAGGTCGATTTTCTAAAAACAGAAGTTTGGAAACGGCCATCAGATTTGGTAACTTTGCAATCAAGGAATGACAAGCTATTGTTTGATTCAAGCTCCATGGTGAATTTGATAGATTTATGTTGGAGATTAAGATAGTCAAAGAACAGGCCCACATGTGGAGGATGTTTAAAAATCAAAAAGGTATCATTAACATATCGGTTATAGAAAATTGGCTTAAAATCCAGAGGACAATTGGCCAACCATGTAGCCTCGTGAAAACACATGAATATATTGGCAAAGGTAGGGCCGAGTGGATGCCCATGTCTTCATGTGTTGCTAGTTAACAATTTTAGAATCAGCTCGTTTTTCAGGTTTAAGGATACCCTACCTGTTCTTATGCGATCGTCACTAGTTTACAGATATAGTTGTGCGCAGTGCGCATCAGCGTACGTCGGTATGACGTCACGCAATTTCTATACTAGGCTGGCTGAGCATGAGGGCAGGAGTTATAGGACGGGGAACCTACTTCCGCATCCGGTGTTACTGATCTACGCATTTTAGAATCCCTATATATATATTCAAGCAGAAGCCTAGTCTAAATGCCGCTTTTAGCTCCATTCCTTTTGAAATAGTAAATAGATAGGCCGTTTACTAGCGTTAATTTCATGTCTTATATATTTATTCTCCGTTTTAAAACCTAACAGTGCCTTTTACTCTACTAATTGATCGTATTTGTGTTTCTAGATCTGAACTTCTTCTGAACTGAATTTCGTGAACTGAAGATAGAGCTGGACTCCGAAACGTTTTCTCTTATAAAGATATGGTGAATTTTTGTGGTATTGTTTTTGCTTTTAAATTCCTAGAATATTTTTCATTGTATTCAAGAATCTGTTGTTCAAGCATGTGCTCGCATCAAGCACTGATATTGACCTTGCATCTTCTTCTTACACAGATGTTAATTCCTGCTTGGTTTTGAATTTTAATAGCTGCGAAAGTTTACGAGTGAGTACAAACATGCAATGTCACGACTCGTACAGCGACTTATAGTTGCAAGAGGAAAAAGTGTTCAGTGGAAAAGGGTGCATCAATAATGTACAATTCCTGCTAGGTGGTGTATTGAAATTTTTTCTACATAGAGTTAAGACATAAAATGAAAATCTCGAGGAAATTATTGTTACTCGTCACGTAGTTTGCCTCGTCAGTACTCATTACGCAGGTTCTCGTAAGTTGCCAAATTAGTACTAAGATTAAGAGTTAAAGTACACACTGGGCATTGACTTCGTGCTCTGCTGCATCATCATTGGCTTGTCGTTTTAAGAAATCCTATGAAGAAGGATTGTTTGCGATCGGACCCTGTTAGTGTCTGGGATATATTCTCATGTCAAGTTTTGCCCCCAGGCCCGATATTGCATACAAGGTCACTCAGACTTTGTGCAGGTCTGAGTGACCTTGTTCTGGTCTGGGTGACCTTGTACAGGTCTGGGTGACCTTGTACAGGTATGGGTGACCTTGTTCAGGTCTGGGTGACCTTGTTCATGTCTGAGTGACCTTGTACAGGTCTGAGTGACCTTGTTCAGGTCTGGGTGACCTTGTTCAGGTCTGGGTGACCTTGTACATGTCTGAGTGACCTTGTGAGGACTTCACGGTGTTGTCACTCGATAGAGCTACAGCCAATATTTAAATGATAGCGGCAATTTTTTCACCCTAGCAAATTTCTAGTTTTTGTGGAGTACCACGGCAGCGTCAATCTACCTGTATTTAATGCTCCGGATGCCATTATTAACTACACTTTAAGAAAGTTTTTTTATTTGAAAAGTCTGATTTGATCCATTTTTTTGCAGATCATATGATTAATTCGCAAGCGTCCAAAAATGATCAAAGATGCACATTGCTCTCTGCTAATCGTCTACAATCTCAAGTGCATTGTAGTTGACTGACTACAATACTAACTGCTGCAGCCATACACGATTATTCATTCATTCTGTCTAATTTGTTGGAGGAAAAACTCTAGCGTCCGGCGGAGACCGGCCATCGAGACGCACGACATGCAGCTGCGAGGTTTTATCAAACAATGGCGAGGCTGCATGCTTCTTTGTTTCCTTTATTGTTTATTGTATTGTATTAATGGACAAAGAAATTCAGTTTTCGTATTTTAAAATTCTTGTTCTACGATAATTTTAGACCAACAAATCGTGCCACAATACGCGCTGCACTGTTGGCTGTTCTTCGTAAAGCCAACGCATTTATCAGCAACCACATCGGAAAGCTTGTTACTCTTTGCTGTTTTGTTATACTATGTTAATAATACAGTTTCGAATTGTAGGGAAAGTTAGGGATTTTTTACAAAAAAATATAAAAAGAGAAAACAGTGAAATTTTGAGCGTCTTAGAATGAATTTATGGAATTTGATACTGGAAATAAGATCTTATTCAACATCGTCACATACGAAAGTTTTTTCCACAAATTTAATCCGTTTATAGACAGGAAAGTTTTTCCACAACAATAGGTAAAGGATATTCCCATAAATTGCATACAATCATAATGGAAGTGAACTCGACATATAATCCGAACATTCCCTTCATGTCCATCTGGGAGCATAATTATTACTGTTGAAAACAATAAATTATTATCACAAGAATCAACAGAAACATGACACTAATGATATTTTAGAGTAAATGAACGAATTACGAACGAGTTCGTATTATAACAACGATTATAATTTTAGTATCAAAGCAATTTCTAAGAATTTGACAATCTGCACACTTGAATCATTCTAAATTCATGGTTTTATTGCAGCAGCAAAATCTCAGTTCTCAAGTATTAGTGAACAGCCTGGTACATTTACTGTTCATTGGGGCGTGAAATAATCGTTAATTGTATTATCTTAACTTCTGAAAGAGATCAATCCTCTTAAAAATTGTGCATTTTGCATTAGTCAAATGAGACAGCTTTGAATTTTTGGACTTCGTTAAATCTTTGAAAAATTTAGGTAGGTTTTGTTTTAACAAATTGGATTATTTTTTTTAAAATATTCTCATTGTGAGTGTATAATAAGAAAGAAAATTTATTGTTGAAAGCTTTTACACATTTATTTATGTATCCCAGTCCTGCTGGAGAAATTTTCTAAAATGTTTGCTTCCCGCTTGGACTCAATACGGACCATTTTATGTTTCATTCGGCATCTCCAGGTTCCACACTTAGCATAAGTAACAAATATACAATTCGATGAGAAAATGGACTTCACGAGCTGTTGGCAATGACATTTTTACTAGTATAAACAGATAAAATAAATGAACCTATCAATCATATGTAAAAATTCACGTTCATAATTGAAGATAAAACTAACAATAATTCCACGGTATTGTATTTTAACGACTCCTACCAAACTATCAGGAAGATTGATTCGTCCAATAAGGGTACCTTTTAATGCGAATTGTATTGCGAGTTGATTTGAAATATGTGAGAATAAATGAAAGTTTCTACTTCTTTAAACGAAGGCTTGCAACTCTGCTACTAGCATTGGAATCTTTCGTTCCTAAGAGGCCAGTACTCTCTAAACTGGTTAAGCAAATCTCTTGTTACTCGAGAGACCATGCAGAATTGTAAAGTTTATCCGCTTAATGTTTGTAAACTGGCTAAAA